TCAACGAGCAGGTACCTTCTCTTCCTTCCACACCTTCTGCAATAGTGGTGTGAGCATGTCCGCTGTTGTCTCTGCGTCTGTTCTCAGTGCTTCTGGCGGGATCCCATCTGGTCCTGCTGATTTCCCACATTTCAGTAGCTTTATGGCGTACAGGACTTCCATTTTTGTTGGAGGATTTATGTTCACTTGTAGTTCAGCGGCTGTAGGTGGTATTTCTGGACGAAGTGCAGGTGGTGGTGGTGGTCGATTCAAGAGCTTCTTGAAGTGGTCGGCCCATTGTTTCCTTTGTTTCTCTTCTTTCGTAATTAAATTCCCGTCATTATCTTTTATTGCTTTCGTCTGCGTTGATCTCTTCCCTGATAGCAACCTGGTTATTTGATACAATGTTGTCAGGTCTGTCTTACCTGCAGCCTGTTCTGCTTCACTCGCCGTTGTGTCATAGAAGTGTCTTTTGTCTTTGCGTGGACTCTTCTTCATTTCGTTGTCAAGTGTTTTATACACTGTATTCAGTTCCTCTTGTCGTTGAGCATCCTTGCACTGGTTTATCTTCTGCTTCACCATATTACTCTCCTCTATCAGCTTTCGTGTGTCCGTCGAGATCCATTCCTTGTCTTGTGTCTTCTTCCTTCCTAATACTGTTATGCAGGTTTCTTTCCACATCTCTTTCAAAGACTTCCAGTGTTCGTTCACACAGGTTTCTTCAGGGATGTTCCTCGATATCTCCCATTTTGTCTTGATGGCTGAAGTGAAGATTTCCTTTGTAGTTTCATCCTCCAGTTTCCGGGTGTTGTACTTGAACTATGGTTTATCACCAGCTTCCTTGAAGGCTTTCAACTTGATTTGAAGTTAGGTTCCTTGCACTAGATAGTGAGTGGTGTGAACCTACATCTACTCCCTTCTTGACCTTGTGTTTAGTAGACTGCGTCTCTATTGTCTTGAGATTGAGATAAAGTCGATCTGGTTTTTAGTGTGTGTGGTATCTGGTGAAATCAAGTCCATGTCACTTTGTGAATAACCTTGTGCTTGAATACACTACCTCCAATCACCAAATAGTTGAATGCACAGAATTCTGCAAACAATTCTCCATTCTCGTTCATCACCTAACCGAGCGCTTCTCGACCCATGGTTAGTTCTCTTCCTGTGTTGTCCGCTCCCAGTTTGGCATTCATGTCACCAATTAGAATTTTGATATCGCCAACTGGGGTCTTGTCCAGTGTTGATTGCAGTTGTCTGTAGAATTCCTCCTTCTTCCCTTCATCTGCATTATTTGTAGGTGCGTAGCGTTATATGATTGTGATGTTCCTTCCTTTTGAGTTGAACCTTGCTGTCATGATCCTGGAGAAGATTGGTTCCCACTGCATGAGAGCCTTCGATGCTCTTGGGGACATCATGATAGCCACTCTAAAACTCAGTGTGCTCGTGATTGTCGTCTGGGTGACAATGTCGGAGTACATTATTGACTCTCCAGTTGACAGTTCGGAGAGTCCACTTCCATTCCATCTGCTTTCGTAAATTCCGAGCACTTCAACGTGATACCTCTTCATCTCGTTTGCAATCTGGACTGCCTTGCTGAGTTCAAACATGGTTGGACATTCCATGTCCCCACGTTTACTTTTGCTTTCATCGAGAGAAGACACATCTGCCAATTGGCTTCCCGAAGGCAGGCTTTCACCAACTGACGTCATTTCGCCTCTCCGATTCCAGCGACGAATAAGTTTGTGATTATTTTTTATATATCGTTTGTGCTTTGAAGTTTCTTTAGCGGTTGGATTTGTTTTCTGGGGTAGGGTTGCTAGCGCTATGCCCAACCTTCCCTGTATACCCGGGCTTAGGACGGGCTAGTAACTAGTGAACTAGTTAACCAGGCGAGGTTTATGAGTGAAACTGAACAACTACCTAAATATCCTATGTTGCATCTTAAGGACTGACAAGTTTGATTCCGGTATTTCGGAAGATTACTCAAAAATGCTGCCTCTTCGTCACACTCTCAGTTTCTTTTCGACAATGATTTCTGAAAATAAAGCGTTCGAATACTGCTGGGAGATCACCTTTAGGTAAATTACTGACCAGCTGCTTCATGATGAACTTAGAAAACACTACGTTTTGTGTGTTGATTGAAGAGTTTCATTTATATACAAAATGCATAAACTGTCCATTCATCATCTCCGATTAATGAAAAAAACTGTAGCTTCGAGACTGATGAGATGGCAGACTGAAAAGAAGCAATCAGCAGGATACACATTTTGAGAGTTCGACAGTGTTGAAGGAAAAAACAGAGAAATATATCCAATAGTGTCATTAGTAATCGTACGAATCCTCAAAGAAAAAGCAAATAGCATTGAATTAGAAGGATTACGTTAAGTACTCCTTAAAACGGTTACTTTTGACAGTTCATAGATGAAAGCCTAAAGTTGAGTAGTTCTACTGCTATAAAGAAAACCCTCTGTACGAACCAATTACCTAAACTGGTATGAACAAATTGTTTCTACTGACCTAGAAATTGTCTTCTCTACTAAACAATGGGCAAGCAAAAGAATCGGTGACTAACTGCCATGGTTAGCGTTCCATCTGTGCAGTTATTTCACAGCAAACACCTTCACTGTGGCTCTTGCTTGTTTTTTTCTTTCACTTGTCAAGTAAGCGGTTAACTATACTGCTTTATATCTGGATGGAATTGCCTTCTTGTTGAATTCTGTGTTCTCATTACTTTCAGATTTCCAAGGTTGTTTACGTAATTCACCTTTTACTTATGCTTATTTTTGTTCTGTTCTATGAGATATTTTTCATCTTAAAAACTCAACCTTTCATATGCAGATACGTAGCTTCAGTAAACGACATTGTTGAAACAGAAATTTCCCATCTATTCATGTTTCGTGTGCTGTTCCCAAATTTTGCATTTTCTTCAGCTGGGTCCTGTATATTTGTCAAAATGGTTACCACATCATCATAATGCAATAAAATTATTTTAAAAAATGATCACTTCTAAACGTGAATTAAATATTCTTAAGTCGTAGTTTACTTTGTAGTGGCCAGCAGAAAAATCCAGGATGGAGGTTTCATCCTGTTTGGGACTCGTCAGCTGGATATACTTGCACCCTAGTGAGTAATGTTTTCCCCACTGGAACATGAAACTAATACCCACTGCTTCAAACTCCGAAGCGCTGTCAACTAAGGTTTTATTCTCAGAGGGAACAATATCAGCCACTGGAGTGCAAGTTTAGCCAACCGATGAGTCTCAGGCCGGACGAAACACGCATGTCCAGAATTCCACTACTAGCCACCACCAAGTAAAATACAAAAAAATGAGTATTCAGGGAATGTCAGGGCAACCACATTGGAGCCCATTTGCTGACAGAGGTTGAATACTTTTAGTTGGCAATCGAAACAGTAGCTTGGGATTGTTATTCGTTGGCTATAATATAACCTTGTCTTGTTTAGTTGAAGACAGTAGTGCTGTCCAAGTATTTGTCCTTGTCATTTACGTTTTAATAGCGGTTTATATGCTGAGGTAAAGTTTTCTTCCTAAAGTCTGAAGTATTTATCAGCGGGAACACAGTAAAATATGTTGTAAGCTGACCAGAAAGTTTGCTTTAGTAGAATCAATGTTTGTTATCTGTGTATTGAGTGTGGTTTAGGATTATATGAGTTCTTACTTTCAGCCTACCAGGTTTTGTTACACATGCTAAATAAATAGTCCAGTCAACGATGAAGATTTACAAGCTGTAACGTCAAAGCTATACTATGCTATACTCTACAACACTCATCCCACAAAGAGTGGATATCATGATTTGGTGGGCACAAAAATAGCTCACTGGAAGGCGAGCACATCAAGTTAATGAGTTCCTAGTCAAACAAGACGTATTTCCTGGATTCCACTGCTAAAGACAATCCATCCTGAATATCACAAATACTTCAAATATACTTAAAATAATATCAAATAGGGATTATGTATAGCGCATACTTACTGTTAAACTACCAATATAGTATTAGTCGTTTAGATGAATGTGTGCATTATGTGTATTAAAACCAATTACTATGTGGACGGTATTGAATTGAGTGTTTGTTCTCATGACTATTGGAGGATAAAATTATTACATGACAACCAGGCAAATAACTGAATATGTAGAATGCAAGTGAAAAAGATCAGCTATGCCCAAATACATTCACTTCATGCAAGCAAATTACTTCAGATCACTTGAATCGGTCTAGCTGACGTGCATGCATCGGTAAACCATGTCGTAAATAAGATGATAAATATACAAATGATTTACAAATCCTTCAATCCGCATTGACATCTGTCATTGCTGAGTAGTTTTCCAACTGCACGACTCAGGTGTCAACAAGATTCCGGTTAGAAACTACCTGATCAAGATCAGAAAGTATGATTTGTGACACAGAAGTGTCTTGAACTAGTGAAAGATACTACTGCTGAACAAATTAAGTAGAAAGCAACAACTCATGCTGATCTATAGATTTAAAAAGGCTTCATAAATGCATTAATTATGCAGAATAGGTATAACTAATAATTATCTTTTAATAACGGCATTCTGAGACTGTAGTATCAGGGGATGTTTGATATATGTTGACATTTTCTACCTTCATAGTCTTGTACACATCAAATTTACCTAGAACGAGGGCTTAAAGTCATTACTTCTATCTTCTTCATCATTGTTTTATAATTACTTATACTTTTCCTTCACTAATCTTTAAAATATAAGGAACAGTATTCTGTTTCACTATGCGCTTCATTAATTAAACTTGTCTAATATGGGAAGAGTTTAAATCAACTCAAAATATTAAAGAAAGTATTTATCTGCAAAAATATAAATATGTTACATTAGTCTTTAAACTTACAAAGTTTAAGTTTACTGAAGGGAATAATAAGTTTTGAGCAAACGTTCATACATTCCACCAATCAAATGATTTATCCACCAAATATAAATATGATAAGGAAGTAATAAATTACCACATCTAAACAATTAGTGTGTATACACAAGCATACCTGATTCACTAACATATTTTTTTGCATAAATAAACAAGGAAACAAAATTATTTCATAAATTTTAAAGTGTGCAAAATGATTGCTACATCATCATTAATATTATCATTGCCATCGGCAAAACATACTATAAATTCAGGATTAGTGAGATTAAGTACAATCTACATAATCTTGATCTCATCTTATTTTGTTGATTCAAAAAATCTGGTAAGTAAGTGTTTTAAGAGTATTTATTAAAAAATTCATGTTACGGTGACCGTTTCAGTCATACAGTGTGTATACGCCGCAATATTTTTATTTATAATAACTAGTTGCCTGATGTTACGTCATAGTATTTCAAGTGAGTAGTTTACTATTATCAAACCTTCTAGTTAAAACAGTTGTGGATAAACATATTAACTCATGTAAACATCTGGTAGAAGTTATTTTATCAAATGACCAGCATCCTCTTCACTCTAAGCTCTCTGCATATTGGTTATCTAGAAAGACAAAGAGCAAGTATATAAGACTTTATGCACGTACTACAAAATCTCTACAATATCATATTTAACTGGTATGTGATGAAGAAAGTATTAGAAATGAACTGATTAATCAGCTTCTGTTTTTGAAGAGAAACTGATTGATGATGAGTATAGGAATATTTATGGATTATGAACGTAATTACTAGTGTGACTGTCTACCTAAATTAACACAGCATTTTCAAGAAAGTTGTAGATAGAGTGAATATTCTTATCTTTTTTTATGTAGTTTATATTTATTTCAATGCAACTGAAGTCTGAATAAAGTATCCATTTTGATGCAACCATCAGCTTTTATCCTTTTAAATAAGATGACTTCTGAAAATAGGAATTCATTAAAATTTTGTTTTATCGACTGAGGATATGTGAAGCTATTACGACATCACTCCATCTTTGCATATCCATTAAATGACATGTGGCCGAAAACTATTGATGATCTTTAATCTCTTGAAGCATAAATTCTTTGGAATACAATTAGGAAAGTACACTTCTTTGTTATACTAACAGTTGAATATTGCTCGTAAGTAAAACGAGATAAAATAAAATATTTCACTTCTGTTAAATTTTCATTCTCTAGAAAAAAACTTTATTTTCATAATGGTGATGGATAGTGGCTAGCTAAGATGCAAGTTTCTTCCAACTTGAGACTCGTCGGTCGGAAGTACCTGCCCCTCACTGAGGCTCGAACTCGTGACCAATTGGTTCAAACGCCATAGTGTTATGCACTAGATCACCGAGTCATAAACGCCATTTCTTGTGCGTTGGGTATATTTTTTTTATTTTTCTGGGAGGTAGGTACGTTCAACTGACGAGTCTCCAGCAGAACGAAATGTACGTATTTGGATTCCTTTGATATTCACCATCAATTATTAGCACAAAATTGGTACTATAGGCGGTTTGAAGCATACACGCAGAAGCCCACTTACCAATAGAGACCGATTAATCAGGTCCAATTACTGACGGGAAATTACAAGCAACAGAATAAAATTCCTTTATTGCTCAAATTATAACGAAGAGAAATGTTTTTGATTTTCACGAAATAATCCTGTGGTGTTTCTACTTATGCCGACTGTTCCTACCGGTCGAAATGTTTGCATATGAGACAATAGTTTCATTACAAGTCATTGTAAATGCAAAAATGTTAACCGTATCTAGATACATCAAGAAACTAAATGATAGTACTTATGATTTATATTTCACTTAAGGAATAGGGTAGAAAAAGGAAGACTATTCGCTTCAACTATGTAATTGCATAGCGTAAATCTCATTCAAGAACAGAAGCATTTTCAAAACAATAGCCTTCTTGTGGTTGTTGTTCTTAAAGGTCTGTTCTGTTTTCTTCAGGGGAAAGAATCAAATAAACATGCTTTCTAAAATGACAGTGATTCACTGGTAAATAAATTAGTACTAAATCATCTGCATTACATTACTGACAGATGCCAGTCATGAAATCAAATGTCACATGTTTTAGAAAATTTCTCATCATCAAGGGAATTGTTGATGTTGTTGTTTGGTGTTCTCTGATTCTTGATATTTTATCGTAGACGTTTTATCATCAAACATGGTGACATCCTCAGTATTAGATTCATCAAGAAGTGAAGCATATTCAAATGTTACATGACCTTGAGAGTCGTTCATTTGTAAGTTGGTAAAGAGGTTTCAAGTTCCAAAAATGCCTTTAATCTTCAAATGATCACACAGATACTAAGGTCGACAAAGCTTACTGGTATCAAACCTAACCTAAAAGTCAAAATCATTCAATTAAGAGCACATTCATATGTATTTGAAGTGATAAGTGAGCCAGTTTTCGGTTATTTCAGTCTCTAAGAAGGCTAATATATGCACTGATGGATAGTTTCAATTTTACATGCAGATGCAAAGATCACACTACTGGTTATTAAAACTTTGAACAGTTATAGTTTAAACTGAACAGCTTGATTAATTTACACCTAGAATGTCTTGGAAAATGAAAAATTAACAAAAAAAAATTTAGCTAACGAAATTTTATTTTTGACGAATCACTTGCAACAGAAATGTTCATAAGTGGTTAATAGGTCAGCACAAGATCATGAAAAATTGTTTGTCCAATTACAAGGTAATGGCTGAAAGGTGATTATAAAATAGTCTATGAAGTTATAGAACAGGTAGGTAAAGTGGGAAACTCCTATCGAAGTCAACATTTACAGAGTAAAAATGAGATGAAAATATTACTGTCAATAAATAAAATAAACAATAAATAAATAAATAAAGTACTCAGGGTAATTATGACCAAATTGTAATTAGAGAGATCAGGTGGTGAATATGTACCTCCCTCTACATGTTTGACTCATCTTTATAAGTGACTTTGAAGAAAGATTTTATTAGAGCTGTGTGACTAAGTCTAACAGAGATACCTGAGAATCGAGCTATTAGTTTCTTCACACTCTCCTTTAGACAGTCATACTGGATAGTATTCGTAGATGCTTTGTGGGAACTATGTAAACCACTGCACAATAGCAGGTGAACTATTAGGGACACATAGAGCTGGTCAAAAGCGGTAGTTTATCCTTTACACAACCTCAAATTAGCTGTTGACTGGAGAAAATAATCCAAAATTGGGAGGAAAAGAAGGCCTGTTTTAGTACTTTACACAACAGATTCTTGAGTATCACCAGAAATGAATGTCTCTGAAACTCAACATTCATAAATGGAGTGTTCTTTGGAACAATAGGGTTTAAACTTTGAGTTTCTCTCAATGAATTTTGAAGGATAACCATTCTTGAACACTATTCTTCGGCATACTTCCAACTGCTCATTTACTAAATCGTCTGTGCACATTGAATGAATTAGATTTCTTTACCCGCCGAATGATGTGCAAGCTCACATGCTTGTTGAAACTAACATCAACCTAGTTGATGCATAACAATGATGAATGTTAAACTTAGGCATCATGATGGAAAGTATTTCCATTTTAAATTTGTTTAGTTGATATATCACATTGATACAGTATTACTTACTGATTTATTTGCTTAGTTACAAGTAAATAATACTGTGCCACTTTGTACTGTATCAAATGAAAAGGTTTAATATAAGATGAGAAATATTATCAAAAACTATGAAGGATACTACTAGTTTTGAAACCACAAAAGATATGTAAACAACACTATACTACATTTATGTACTATTCAGTTCAGTTTACAATACGAAAGTAAATCATAGTAGGGTATCATTTCTTAAGTGAAAGTTTGTTTACAAAAGAAACTGAGTTTTCGATCATATCTTGTTGACTTTAATTTGCAGTTATACATTATTGATGGATAGCGGCTAAAAGTGGTGTCCAGGATGTGCGTTTCGTCCTATTCGAGATTCGTCGGTTGGATGTACCTGCTTTCCAGTGAGCAATATTGTCCCCACTAGGTTAAGCAACAACTTTAATTTGCAGTATATCGTGATTTCAATTTTCAGATTATCTAAGCAGGTTTAACAGAGAAACTTGCCTTCCTCAAATGAAAGTCATCACACTAATTCAAGTAGTGTACATATCAATACTTTAAAATAATTCTTTTCTTCAGTAAACAAATATTCATGGCTAAATAAAAATCAAGTTTTTTCTAAAGCCTTTCCGGGTGTTTTTAGCTTCACAAATTTCAGAAGCGTGACAAAATTGACACCAGGTTTAACTTACCTCAAAAATGAGATGAATGAGATTTCTAAAGCGAGAAACAAAAATTATTTGCCCACTAAAGATATGTTGTTCGATGATGACAGAGAAAGGCATTAAATTCATACAAGCTACAACCAAATTTAGATGCTTAACGCTTCTGTGAACTATTATTGAGTATCTGCTTAACTTTTGCATAACAGTAATTAATCTTGTCAAAAAACACTATGAAAACTTATGCTTACAACCACATGATGAGAGATGGTGACATAACTTTTAGCTTTGTTAAGAAACTTTTAAATATTATATTTGATGTCCTAAGCATTCCCAATATGTTGGGAAATATAAGAAGTTCACCATAAGACCTAAAAGTTCAAAATTCAGTTCCTAGTGGGGTTTCGGGTATGTACCGCTGAGAAGTCCCATACTAGGATAAAACACTTTTCCACTCCTTCCAAGTCTTCTATAGTACTTCAGCTGTTGTCAGTCTGTGATAAATAATACCTTGGAATGAAAGAAGGTGGGAAAATATTTGAAAATCTGGCATAAAACTGATTGTCAGTGTTTACCATCAAAGTACTTTGCAGTATGCTATGAGTGATGATGAACCCTTTCCATCCTCACTATCTATATAATACAGTAATATACATGTTCGATTTGTAAATTTTAAAGGAATAAGAATTAAAATTAGAGGAGAACAACATGGATCCATTTGATTAGTTAGGCGGTTCCAGTCAGTTGCTTACAACCTAGAACATTTGCAATAATAAATTACAATAACATATTAACATAGTTTAGTTCATCGAGTTCAGTTAAGACAGGACAACGATATAGTGGAGTAAGGAAACTGTTCGAGTTGAAATAATGTCAAAATAGCATGTAATGATGTCACTAAATGTTATCTTTCTAGAACGAGTTTTCAGAACTATTAGATGGATTGTAAAAAAAGGTGAATACTGAGTAACTAGTATCAAGAAGTTATGTAAGTTAATGAGTAGATAAGTGAGTAGTAATCACTAAAGAGGACATAATGAATCAAACTCAGTTGTTTAAGATTCGAGTAGTTTCTTGTCTTAAATTATACAGTATTTGGTTCTTTCTGTCCCTATGTAATTCTTATGAAAACTTTCGTTCTTATAAGACAAAACTTTAAGAAATAACATGACACTGACTTTATTTCACTTCGAACAGTTTCCTTACTCTACAATGTCGTCGTCCCATTTTGACTTATTTCACTCAATATATTGATATATTATTGTAATTTGTTATTCATAAGTCATTCAAATGAATATAGGAGTAAAACTTAAGCACTGTGGAGGGACGTAATTACATCTTTATTGACTTATTAAATTTCCCACACAGTGTAACAGTATTGTTTACTGGATTACGTGTTGGACAAAATTTATTGTTCATAGTCATTATCGAGATAACTTCACAATTGTGATACATGGCTTACTTATGTCTAATCTTCTCTCCTCCTTATGATATAGGTAATAAGAGTTTTTATACATCTGGAACAAGTGCTGAATTATTCTTGTTGCATGTATTCGGTGTTGATTCGAGAAACAAACATCCCGTTATCAATCTCTTCCTCCACCCTGCTATGTTAGTTTTAAGAAGTTATATCCTATCCCTTCCTACTATGTGGTTGTGTGTAACTGCATGTATAGTTATGAATGGGCATGTTTCTAGATTACTTATCATTCTAAGACTTACCAGTTTTGATTTAGCTAGGTTTTTGTGTTCGGATAGCCTAAATGACCCTGATTCAATATTTTGACCTATGTATTTGACCTCTCAATCGTTGCAAGCAATTTGGTGAACTAAGTTATTCTCCTTAGTTGAACCAACAAGATCTTTTAACCTACAAAACTTATTTCTAAGTAAGCTTTTAGGTTTAAATGCCATTCTAATCCCAACCTTATTCAGAATCGTAAGTAATATCTCTGAGGTGCCTTCCTTGTAGTAACAATACTGTAGAGGGTTTGGATTTTGTTTTCAGAGTATTGCCACTATAAAGATTATTATTAACTGCTGGGTTACTAATATTATTCACATTTTCTGACGATTAATCAGGAATTTATTGATTAACTGAAGAGCGTAAATACTGATGAGTAATTTGTCTTTAATGTATTCAATTTCTTATCTTAGATCTTGCTTCTTACTAGTAAGTTACTTGGCCATGTTACTTGGACATTTTACTAAACCAACTCTAACGGACACTAGGTGAGATGATTTGAAGTCTAAGTAACACTTCGAATGAACAAAGAATATTCTTTTCGATAACTTCTTCTTCAAGTCCTAACAGTTATATGTCTGTGCTGCGTAATTTGGCGTCAATAATACTGAGATTTTGGTTAACAGGTTATTATTACTATAATACAGTTAAGGAATCCTGTCCAGAGAATATTCTAGGTTGTAAGCAGTTGACGAAAACTGCAGAAATAATAAAATCGGTCCATATTATTCAGCTCCAATATTTTATTTTACATTTTAAAAAGTGATAAGAGTAAATATGTGTGTGAATTTTATGAATTCCTTGTAAGAAATCAATAACATGAAATTATCACGAACGTAATTATCATATGAAAAGCAATATATATACACAGTCCCTACCAAAGCTGATCTGGTAATCGTAGCGCAAAACAAACGAGTAAGGGATACAGAGGTATGATAATCATATTCAGTAAAAACTACTTCAAATCACTACCCATTTATTAACCAGCTGGTGTTGAAAGACTTTAGGCAATATGGTTTTAAGTAGTGAAATGAAATGTATTGACTGCTTGCTACTGTCCATTTTCATGAGCAGTTAAATTATATTGATATACGTTTACTTAAGACTTGGACAGCAAAAATCAACAGGAACGACAACAAAAGTTTCTTAAAGCAGTGGCCTGCTTAAACTTTAGGCTAGTGACTTCATTACGTCAAATACTCTCCTTTCAATTTGTTTTAATCTTTCAAATATGCCCTCTAAACGTCTCAAATACTCTTGCACTTTTAAAATGGTTTTAAACTGCCTTTTTTCAAGCCAAGAAAAAAGCGAAACATAAATGATACTCTGAAAAGAGATTGGCTTATTAAAACGCAAAGAAATACAGTATATTACAGTTCCTTGGATGACTATATCGAACTGTAGATTTTGGCACTGGCTGAATAAACTACCATCAACAAAATTACGATCGATATTCTATTCATTTACCAGTCCAAACCGGATACTAATCTAATACCACGTGCCTCTTTCACATTTTAAGTTTCATTACTGTTATAATTAATATTATTCAAATGTTGGTTGTTTCGCTTAAAGTTATTGTACAGGGAATGAATTTGTTGAACTGTTACATGCTGAGAATTTGATACTGTACCACAAGTCTTGTTTAGAATAAAGCTATTATTATTACTACTAATAAAGATGGTTTCAAGTCAAACAAATGTGATTGAATGAGAGAATTCATGCTACAAGTAACAAACCTGTACGATATGGAAACAGTCTGTTATTGGAATGTCAGTTTAAAGTCGAAAAACCAAAACCTTGGCTAATTAAAAGTGCCTCAATCGATTCAACTCTGAAAACATTTCAAACCCTAGATAGTAGGAAAATGTAAGCAAAAGTAACATCAAAGGAATTTCTAAGCTTACCAAAATTAACAAACAGCGGAAAACCACAGACTGCTATCTGAAACAGAACTTATAGGAGAATTTTAACTAAAGGTGTTAGATACGCGATGCTCTATTGATGGAAGTGATAGCTGTTAAATTATAATCTAAGTGAGAACCTCCTAAACAAGTTGGTGTTTCTGGAGTAAGGTTAAGAGCACAGACTAAGTTGCTTGTTTAGCCATAAACTACCGGTTAATCTGAGATTGCATTACTAAAGTTCTGAGTTTCATACAGTCTTTTATTAAACTCCAGAATATAGTTTACTGATTAAACAAAAGTATGTTTATCCTAGAACCATAAGTTCATAAAACTAGCCTAGGTTTTCAACAAAAAATTTTAAATTCGGATTTCTCAGCTTGTTGATTCACCAATAAGACGCATTTACTACTAGTAATTTCACTACGTCCGCTACTCGAAAGGAAACTCAATCAACCACCTTATGCATAACAGTGTAACAAACAATGAGCCAAATCTGTTGTATGAGGGGCAGTAATACTGCCTGGTTGCTAAAACCTTGGTAAGTGGAGTGGAGTTCGAACCCGTGACCCAATGGTTGACAGTCACCTCCCTAAAACACTGAACCACAGTTCCGCTACTACTACCACTGCTCACACATTACATTCTAGATATTACTTAAAATTGTTATGTAGTACGGATGACAAACGTCACTATGTTATAATTTAACTGGTGGTGGTTAGCAGTGAAATCCAGGACGCATGTCCAGTCCTATCTAGAACTCGTCATCTGAATGTACCTGGATCTCACTGACTGATGTTGTTCCCACTTAGACTTGAACCTACAACCCATCGCTTCAAACGCCAAAGCTTTATCCACTAGGTTTCGAGTCTCCATCAGAACAACATCTGTCACTAGAGTGCAGGTACATCCGGCTGATGAGTCCCATATTGGACGAAATGTACTTTCAGGATTCCACTGCTAGCCATGAACAAGCAAATCATAGCGTAATGAGGTATTCCCATAGAAACCCATATGGCGTCATATAAACTTATGTCTTAATTATTCATAACAGTAATATACTACGTTTTTCTTTCTTTTTTATACTAGATACTTCAGCAAGGAAAAAATTCTAACTCAATATTCGATGATTTATTATTTGTTGATAAAGATTTAGCTAAATCAGTAATCTGTTCACCTCAAGCAGATCAAAATATATGTTCACGTTTAGAAGATGTTTGGAATAATTATGAATTCCTAAGCATGAAAACGTTATATGCTCTGTTCTGTTATGCGAATACTTGTAACACTTCATCATCACCATTACCATCTTCATCACGTATCTGGAAAAATCAATTGTCAAAAAATAAACGTTCATTATGCAATTTTATTGGATGCACCAGTGACATTTAGGCAAAAATCACTGTACACAAGAAAATAATTCGAGAATAAAAAACACTTGTTTCGTTATGACTTTTGCTTCGTTTCTAAAGGAAAATGAAAGATGTAAAGTATAAAAGTATTTTAACTTTTATCTATTCATATATATTTTAAACTTAAGATATTATGATCCTTTTTGAAGCAACTTCATTAAATGATTGATTGTAAGAGTTAATTTGACTGGATGAAAGACAGTATGATTTGAGAAACTAACCAAAAACCAACTCAAAACGTTTAGCCATCATGTGTGGTGTTCACGTGATGCTTAATCATACTAGCTGACTTCCCATACTTTAGAAGGTAAATTAGGATTCAAAATCGTCACCTATTACTTGAAAATTCAGTTTACAAAAACATCCAAAACACATTAGAAAATGAACATACGCTCTTGAATACATTAGCTGATAATTAAATACCTATGGTAAATTAAATAAAAATGGTTTTGTCTCACTGCTTTAATCGCTTAAAGTAGATCATTTGAACCTTATGACAACTGAAGTCTAATTTCATAGCTATTCATAGTCTGACAAATGTACGACATTCAAAAGTAAAAAACTGACACTCTTCCCTCTCCATTTCATTATGTTGAGAGAAAATCATCAAGTATTTGATAGAGAAAATCAAAATGTCTTCATAACTATCGGTGGAAGTTAAATATTATAAAACCATTCACCCACCTAAGACACTATTCTCATCTAAGAATATAGAAGTATGTATTTGTTCATTGACTGAAGGAAATCGATAGGAAGTTCTGTTCTTACGGTTCATGCTTGTTGTACTTGTCAACAAGCACAAAGTCTAGGTCAAGAAGAGCTTTCTGTTGATTACCTTCAACCGGCTAACACCTTTCAAAATGCAACATGATAGTAAGCTTCCTTATCTTTATATACCAGATGTTTATTAACTCTGGTTCATGGTACCACTATGTGAAGAGTTTTAATATGTTGAATTTACGTTAGCATTACTGACAACAGAAATGCGTGTATGTTTCTCCAGCGAAACACACGAATATATATGAGGCTAAATAACATCAAAATTTTCTGTGTATGAAAAGAATATATTATCTTTCTTTTCTGACTATGGTTCATAAAATCAAGATGCGAGAAAAGCAGAAACAGACAAATGCTACAAAGCGTGAATATTCTTGTTTATTTGAATAATTACTCCGGTAAATTTACCGTGAATATAAAACGTAACCAAACCTATATATGTAAAACTTAAATAATTATTTGACATCAAAGTGTTTAGAATAAAAATTGAGACCAAAAACTACAGCCTTCGATCATAATTCGTCTTTCTAACATACCACACAACAACATAAACACAGTAATAGCACGTGAACGCCATGCGTACACAGTCATTCTTCAACAATTATATCAAGGTAACCAAATGACCTTCATAACTGATTTTCATGTTCTTAGAGCTCATCATTTCGTAGAATCTTCCGGATATCGTAACTAGATGAAAAACCACGCTCGTGGACTTTAATCAGTTTAGACTCGATAAACAATGAATTAGTAATAAGTTCGTCTGTCTACGTATTCAATGCTTCCTGCTACTAAGGGGTATATACAACATTGAGGAAATCATTGTAACCTAAATTTTATCGTTCTTATATAATCTCTTACTGTAGTGATAGTTGTAAGCTAAGTATGATAATTGTTTGGTGTTCTCCTAGCCTTCAGTTTTGTTCTTGGATGCTTCATAACCAGATATATTGATTGGTCACTAGTTCTAAGTGCTGATCAAATTCTACATGAGGTTGATCACCCTCCAGCCGCCAATCAATGTACACAGTCCAGGCCAATCGTGGCCAGAATTGCTGGATAATAGCACTGAGTGACGCTGGTTCAAATATGACGTGGGACATCAGTTCCATCGACATTGCACATATACCTAACTGACTAGTACCAAAAACTGCGAAACCAAAGTTTAGAACTTCGTTCCGATAACCTCCGTCCTACTAGGTTTATGACTAAACTAAGCAGCCGTATGATATTTCTTGATGACTTCAGTCAGCACTGAACAGTACACTAATTAATAAGTTGACTGGAAGAAAAAGGATTTTTGAATACAAATGCACTGAGGTGAATGAGATTTATTCAAGTGGTTAGTTCACAGTATATAAAAAGGCTATCCTTTTGACTATCTGAGGTAGCCATTAATACTGGGTGATCATAGGCAATCAGTGTAAATCGATCAAGCGTTAGTAACGTGTCACGAATTCACATGATAGTCGGTGAAAACCCTCGGTGATAAAAGTGAAATAAAAATCTGGTCAGTAGTCGGACGTCGTAGCTCAGTAGATAGAGCATCAGGTTGGAAACCCGGTGGTCGCTGGTTCGAATCAGGTCAAGGTCTGCATTTTCATTTTACCTTAAATCATCGCTCAGTATATAAATAGATAACAGAAATATCTGTCGTACTCATATCCTTCAGACTTTAACCAAGTCTTAAATAGTAATATGCAACAAAAAATAAAAACTCTGTCACCTTATTTATGCTTTAAAAATATTTAAGATGTTTCATTTTTATTCTTACAAAGAAAACTGAAATACTATTTACTGTGAAGAAGAACCTAAGTTCTTAACAACTAGATTCATCCCAAGCGGGTTAAATCGGGGTAAATCAAAGGTTGTTTCATAAGTAAACTCCATGTACACATATTCTTGACTATTTACAACAGAATTAATATTTGTAGCCTTTTACTCTCTGAGCCTGGGGTTACTCGTAAAACCTTAGATATCTGTAAGAGGTTTACGTTACAAGCCAACTTCAGGTAGAGTATCCCTTAGACCAGGTGAAATCATAATCCAATATCATCGGTGAGCATTTGTGCTCGCATTTGACTTGCATGATTCTACCAGGTATAGCTTCCTGTCACAACCTCGGTTAATCTGCCTCCAATGAATGCTGGATCATTATTTGACTGCGTGATGAAACTTCCTAGAAACATGAAATTCCATCGCTACACGTATATCGATCCTAAATGATGAGAATGACGGTAATTAAACCTTTCAATAAAGCACTGACTACTAGCTTCAACTGAGCGGCAAAACCTGTGAAATTCTTAGGTCTTTCCACGCATCGTCATTTGAACTAGTTGATTAGTCAAAGCTAAGTGATTTTGATACACTTTTTACTTTAATTTTGATTGCCAAAAAGCAGTTTACCAAATGGTTTGCCATCTTTATGACAATCAAATTAAGGCGATATCTGCCATGCTAGTGAAAACTATGTAACCAAAATTATACAGTTCACTTTCGACTTAGCAACACACTTTAACAACTGAAAACAGTATTCACACTGAATTACTGCTTTATGAAAATAATCACAATACTATGTTTAGCATATTGTAAAGGATATATAGGGACAATGATCTCGCTGAAGACTAACAAATTATTCAACAGGCTAAATAAAGCAACAATAATAATCATAAAACCTTTGAATAACAAAGATAAGATTGATTTGACCGAGAAGGGAATCACACATATCTTCAGAGAACTGTTTCAACAGAAACTGACTGATTACTCTACACCCAGTAATCGTAAACTCCAAGGGTCTGCCAAAGATACATAAACAAAAGTGATTATTGTCATGTCATCGAAAGGTCACATTATGGCTTGCAGAAACATTTTAGAACCTATACGTCAAGGAATGGCTACAAAAACTCTGAGGAATTCGTTCCCGTTCTTTGATGATATAAGTGAAATTAAAATCTCTAATCAGTTTATGGTATCCTTCTCCAAGATTTCCATTTATAATCAGTTTTACACGAACATTGGTCAAAACATTATTTTATACAACTAGAAGTGTGTGTTCAGGTGATAAATTGTAAGATTTGTTGAGCAATGGAAACATACTATGAAACAACAGAAATTGACCAATAAACATGGAATATCTGAAGACAATAAGTTTAAAAAAGTTACCGTAAACAAGAAACCGTTTTTATTGAAGTCAAGTTCAAAGGTGACGATTTCTCTGAAATAAATAATGAAAGGCTTAAAGCTGTACCGCACAGAACATATCTTGTAGCCAAGTTAATCCCCCTCTGTCGAACAACGTGGCATGTTAAATCAAACGTCAGCTGATTTATTTCCCACGCAACTTTGTGTACACGTTTACTTGCGTCATGAGTGGAGACAGATAGGCATCCTTCGAAAGTCTCAGGAGAACAAAAAGTCTTCTGCAGTGCAGTCGCTTGAAACAAAGCATGACAAAGATACTCTGGAGTCCTTCATAGTAATCAACAAAAAATGCAATTTGAATATGCTCATTTTCGTTGAGGCTGTAGTAATCAAACGAATAAAATAGGAAGTGTGTTCACAAAGGTGTGGAACTCTTTCAGTGCCTTGGTAACCTAACATTTTACTCTTCCTCTTTCTTAATAGCATCTTTACTTTGACTGAACCTGTTTGCTGTTGATGCAAGATTTTCATCATAGTCTTACCGACTGAGTTCAACCCACCATATACTTATACACAATTTGTTCATTGCTTATCACCACCTAGCCAACTTGTTATTAGTCTTACGTAGTATTTCATTACTGTTTCCATTGTCTGCTTGAATTTCTCCTTGAATTACTAATATTACTGAAACTCCCTACCAAGTCTCGTTAAACTTATCGAGATTTTAGTATTCGTTACTGGATGAAAACGTTTCCTGTCGACTAACTTCATTTAACCACAAAAAGCTTGTTCAGCTTCTTTTCTGATATGATATTTAAGCGTTTCAGTTTGTAAACAGCTAATGAGAAATCGGTTAAATAATATACTACCATTTTATTATGATTAAATTATTATTCCTTCTCTTCAAGGTTCATATACGGAAATATGTCTAAGAGAAAGCAATATTTTGGCTTTCGAGACTAAAAATACTCATCAGTAAATCACAACTGAATTTTCTCTCTGACCACTTAAAATAGTAGAAATTCCGGTCAAATTTAAAGCCATTGAATATATATTTTTAAGGTGTATATTAACTTATCTAAACGATTTTTGACTTTCGAAACATTTTAAGAAAGCAAATATACTCTCAATACATCAGTTTTTTGAGAAGACAGACAGAAAAACTAACTCTTTGGTATATGATTGGTACTGATGAAGTAGAAAAACTGCTTTCAATATGAGATTGAAAGTTAATTATAATCTAGATCTCACTTATTGTTAACTTACACATATCATAACTCACCATCCTACATTTGACAAATATGAAGATCATATCAAATATATGTATCGGATGCCGACAAGTATTCCTGTGCTCGACTACTTATCGATGTGCTGAGATTTGATATCCTCAGCCTGTTTCAGGTTTGGAACCAACCTGCTTTTATTAACTTTATTGTTCCAATGCCCCAGTTAGGCATCAGAAGATTAAAAGTAGTATGATCTTAGACAAAATGTCATTTCACACTGATTTCTATGTAATTACAAAAGACAGACATTTCTTCTTTCTTATAACGTGGAATGATGAGTGATCTAAACCAGTCAAATGGGAGTAGCACTCATTTCCATATACAGCCTAGTATCTATGTTACTCTACACAATAATTTTCTACTTTGATCCCTAAAACATTCAGGTGTCAAATTGTCAGCCTTGCTGATTTGCATTTTTTCGGGTTCGATATAGCCATTTCAACTTCTAGGATCGCTGAAGGACTGACATCTACGTTCCATTCAAGTTCGGGCAGGATACTGAGCGACTGGCGAGTGGCTGCAGGTCATTTTGGTCGTTCTTTGAAGTGTCTCTCCCAACATTTTAGTTACTTGTCCGACAATATCATTATGGACCGGCGTTTTTCGCTGTTGACTTCACTGACTATCATCTTCTTCATTTCAGATCCAACAATTAGCTCAAATCAATGCAAACTATGACCGAATCCCCCAGCGGCAGGACTAAGTCTCCTTGCGCATGGCAGTTAAGATGACGTCAGAGATATTCACTGGATTTTACTGGCCTTTATTTATAGGCCAAATAATCTCCTTATACCAGTATCAATAGTGGACTGAATATTATATCAGGCTTCATCCAAGTGTTCAGATAAAACCATAACCTCTTCCTCCATAAGTACGCACTCCGCGTCATCGATTTACAACCAAGCACACAGATGCTACATTGCTGCTGGTTTCCTACACCTACTAGATAGAAAGCCTTCATGCATCTATACTACCGAACGATATGAGTCTAAACAGATACTCAAAAGGAGTGGCAGTCCACCACCGATCCTCTTTAATGACCACTGAAAGCAATATGACAGATTTGTAGCCATTGCTGATTGGATTTATGCAGATACTGACTGAGACAATATCTTGTCTATGTTTGGAGTTACTGCCAGCAAAAAAATAGTGGCCAGTGTTTGAACTAGAATCTTCTTATCCATCGAACAAGATCCCAAAATAACTTTAGAAATGTTGACAACAGAATTTCAACGATAATCTTCTTCAAGCGTGACACAACCATGATAGAGCATCAGTTTCATCCTTCTCAATTGGTTTCAGTTGTTAATGCAGGTTTTATGCTGGTGCTGCCTTTCCTTTTCGGGGAGAGAGGCTTGGAGAATGTCTGTCGTAAAAATACCATATCTCTCCCTGCCCCACGGTCTCCCGGTGCCGGCGGTATGGGTTTATGCCATCCGGCGTTAGAACAAAACCCCAAAACAGCAATCCAGAAGAGGCTATCTGTCACAGACCCCAAGCAAATATTCCATGGGCTCTGCAGCCACACAAATCTTTTTCTTGTTCAGGTACCTTAAGAAGAACTAGTCTTCCATATTGCGGGTAGCCAGAGAGTGTCAACCACACACGAGCTTACAGTAGTAAACAAAGTCTCTTTCTGCATGCCTACCTTTACATCATTGCTCGACATGCCTTCCACGTTACATAAATGCAAATTGTCGCTCCATAACTGGTCTTTGCTGATTTCTTGATTAACAATAAAGTGTGAAATCCTTCAACGTCTTGACCATTTCGCCTGACTAAGAATTCAGGTCACCCCAAGAAGGTAAGTGGCTGATGAAAACCTCCGCAGAGATACAATGGCTCGTTTCGCTTTCGCCAACCTACCCCATTTTTAGCACCATCATGAAGTCCGATCGCCTGTAAACGCCCGAGTGCACTGCGCTGTAGTTCGCTCTCTTACATTTATCACTGCAGAACATGTTAAAAGGAGGTAATCCAAATGTATTCGAGCAGTCATTCCACAGCCACTGTTTGCCTTGTGTTCTTGTCAATTCAAACAATGTTATGGCCAATGGTTTAAAGTGTATTAAGAGGGAGGAAGATGAGGCTAAAAAAGAAGGACAGTCATACCCTGGAGATGGACTGTCGACACTCAGAAGACTCTTTGGTCGGTTTTATTATTCCTGCAATTTATCTGTCAATAGGAGATAACTCTTCACTATTTCAGGGAATCAACCATATAATAACTATAGCCCGTTTGCAATTGATCTTCTAACAATTTTAATCTTCGACTTTGGGGTTCACAAGCAAGCCGATGGATGGGAAAGACCATTCAGAGATATTACTGCTGTATTCGCTTTTATCATTTTTATTCTGCTACTATTACTTTGTGTCATTTTATTCCATTACAACAAACATTACAAGGGTTATCTCAAGTTGGTGTTACATCCTTCTTTAATATTGCTCCGTATACGCTCGTCGAAGAAGACACAGGTGTAATGCATACTATTCCATCTCCCGTTATTACAAATGAACCTAGTAAGCAGCTTAAACTTGATTCTTCTCCTAATATTCATGATGAAGGTCTATTCGCATGCACTAATGTAAGAACACTATCTGGTGGTGAAAATTACAGAAAACATGATCGATTTAGAAATCATCCAATCTGCTTTTTGAAGAATCCGTAATTCTATCTAAATGAAAAGTTAAAAATATTTATCTTTTATTATCGAAGACCCAAGAGATCAAGGACGGATGTTTCCACGTACAATTCTTACTAACAGTGGAGTATCTTATAATGTCTTATAGTGGATTACACCCTACATTCTTATTTTCATCATAAATCGAAGGCATTTTGAATCTGAAAACGCAAATGGAATACTTTGGAATGTTTTGTTGGAGCATAAAATAAATATGACCGCTTAATCCTTATTTGGTTCCTATCCCTAATTATGTGATGATGACACATTTTACCCATGCAGAATCTCTCTTAAATCTGTTGCTCCCAACGAGCTATATGTATATCTTGTTGGTTATCTATGGAAAATTCATAATTTGTTCCTATTAACAATTTTGTTCTGATTTTAATTTCTTTCCAGGGCTGGTCTGGGCAGTAGATATCTCCCCGAACCCCCATCATAGCCACACCACTAATAAGAAAAAATCAACCCTGATGATCTAGGGTTAAATCCGTATAGAGATGGAGAAAAGGAAAGAAAAGGACCAACAACAAGAAAATTATTTAGAATAAAGTGTGGAGGATTCACTATGAGCATAAGCGATTTTCACCCCCACATTCTAATAGACTATTTACCTGACATGAATAAATAAATGAACATATGCAGTCCAGTAGAACTAAAGTAAATTGAGCTACGGGTTAGGTCAACTTCTATCTTATAGATGCTTATTTACAAACCGCTTTTACATACCTCACATATTCGACAAAACACTTTCTGCATCCAAAAGTGAAAAAATTATTTCAGTCTTTGCTTTTTCCACAAGAAATTACATTCTCTCTTGGATATCACAAAATTCCATACATTTCAAAGTGTGATGCGTATTGCATATAGCTTACGTTTAAAAGTTATACCACATGTGAACTGGAATTCAGACTCACTAGTCTGTATTACCGGGTATGCCAATTCTTGTTGATTTCTAATTTTAATCCGTACCCTTGATCAAGTTGGTCATCGAGCTTCGTTGGCGAAGACTCTAGAAACTCAGACTATGGATGTGTGCTGTTTTTGTGAGACATACATACAAGATTCAAGTGCGGTTATTCACCTAACCTCTCCCGGTCAACCTGATGACTCCGCAAAATTCACCCTACAAGTCTCTGGAGATTCGATGACTAGCTCTCACGGTCTCTCAGGTGTAGGCATAGCATTAAGCACTAGAGTGGAAAGCTCACTACTAGACTGGATCCCAGTTGGTAGTCACCTCTGCGCTGTCTGGCTGAACAGCTCAGTGAGAACTAAAAAGAATAGTGAAACTCGACGTTGCCTCTTTGTAATCTGCTTACGCATCCACTGACCGCAGTTCAGATGAAGTGAAGGAGGAGTTCTACCGAAAACTGTCTAGCCTCCTCTCGAAAGCCAATTACTCAGAAGTGGTTGTTGTTGCAGGCGATTTCAATGCACAGGTGAGTAGACTGAGTAAGGCAGAAAGACACTTAGGTGTCACTTTCGGAATCCCGGCTAAACGAACAGATAACGGTGATTGCTTACTACAACTGTGCTCATATAACCACTTATTTTTAGTTAGCACAAATTTCAGACACAAAGCAAGACACTGTCTGATGTAGCGTCCACGGAGCTCAACTCAGTAATGGACGCAGATAGACCATATTGCTATCAGTCGTCGCTGGAGAGGATCGGTGGGAGAGCGCGGCTCCTTCTTAAGTATGTGTTTGGATAGTGACCGCGCGTTGATCCGAGCGCGTATATGCCTGCGTCTTAATAGACGTAAGAAAAATTTGGCAATAAGACCAACACAGGTGCAGCTCGACAACGAAAACATCAAAGCCGCTTTCAGTGAGAAGTTGGCTAGGCAGTTATCGGAACAGAAGACTATCACTCATCCAGAAGAAGCTTGGTGCCATCTCCAGTCTGCTGTGGAAGCAGTGTTGAAGACCGTAGCCGACTCCGAAAGAGTGGCTAAAAAGAGCCAGTGGATATCAGCAGCGCAACTTAAAAGTAGATTGAGAAAAAGTCTACTCAACGACCGCGAATAGTGGTGGGCAACGAAGGCTAAAGAGATGAAAAAGGCAGCGGCGATTGGCAACAGTAGACAGTTATTTAGACTTATTAAGAAAATTGGGGGGAAAAGGTCAACAACAGTTAGTGAGACTATAGCGGAGAAGGACAAGTCTGTTATTCACTCTCAGAGGAAACGACTGGAACGATGGGCAGAACAAATTCACTGGCCCCTATCCACCTGCCTGCTATCCAGTCGGAACCTAGATGGAACATTGAGATAGGCCCTCCAATACTAACAGAAGTCGAGAAAGGGGTAGGTCACTTGAAATAAAGAAGGGGAGCCGGACCAGACGAACTAACTCCTGAGGTATACAAAGATAGTGGTAAGAGTGCTCTCAGGTTAACAGATATTAACTAGTATATGGGAATCAAATCCCCTCTGACTGGTCTAAATCACTGATTATCCCAGTCTTTAAGAAAGACTAGAGGTCCTCTTGCGATAATGACAGAAGAATCAGCCTGACGGACATAGTGCCTAAGATTCTAGGTTCCATAATTCTTCGACGTCTGAGTGGAGGCCGAAAACAGCAAGATCGAGAAAACCAGGCAGGGTTTAGACCTGGCAGCGAGTGCATTGACCAAATATTAACACTGACAGGTCTTGGAACACAGACAAGCTTACCGATGCACAACAATAGCTATATCTCTCGACTTGAAGGTGGCATTCAACTCTTGATCGAGAAGCATCATGCCGATTAAGTACATCACCGTATTGAAGGCTCTCTACTCGAACACTTGTGGGCGTGTTAGAGCCTATGATGAGATGTCCGGGGAGTGGTGTGCGTCAAGGGTGTCCACTCTCTCTCCATTCTTATTCAGTTTTATCATAGATATTCTTATGGAGGTCTCCCTCTCGTCATCTGACATCACAGGGATAGATCTAATCACAAGAGATGCCTTGGTAGACCTAGAATATGCAAATGACAGTCCTGTTAGGTGAAGACGCTGACAAGATACAAGGTCTTCTGAACACCTTGAGTGGCAATTTGAGAATGTTTGGGATGAGTTTCTCACCACCCAAATGCAAATTGTTGCTCCAGGATTGATCTTCAACAGTGCCTCGTCTAACAATAGAGAGTGAAGGGGTTGAGTGTGTCGACCACTTCACTTACCTGGGAAGTAGGATCAGCCCTGGTGACTCGGTGGCCGACGAAGTTTCTGCACAAATACAAAAGGCTCGGCTGGCTTCTTCCAACTTACGCCACCTGTGGTTCCGCATGATATCCGATTGTCTATTGAGGGTCGCGTGTACTTCACGGTAGTCCGCTCTGTTCTGCAGTATGGCTGTGAAATATGGCTGTTGAAGGTGGAAGACATGAGAAGGCTTTAGGTGTTTGACCACCGTTGCCTTCGTAGTGTAGGCCGTATTCCGTGGTGTCACCACTTGAGTAACACAGAAGTCAGGTGTAGAGTCTTAGGGAGAAGTGGTAAGTTAGTTGACGAGGTTGTGAACCTTCATCGGCTGGGATGGCTGGTTGGGACACGTGTTACGTATGCCTAGTCAGCGACTGCCCCGTCACACAATGTTGGCCGAAGTAAGTTCAGGCTGGAAAAAGGCCAGATGTGGCCAGACTAAAACATGGCACCAATGTATGAAGTCTCTGACTGTTGGTTTGAGCCATTTGGGGCGATGCAGACTTGGTGGTTGGGGTCCGCGGGACAAGAGAAACCGGTGGTTGGAGACTCTAGGTGATATGGCTGAGAACTAATGTCAGTGGCGCAGATGTATACACACATTATCCATATCTTAACACTATACCGAATCTCACCGTTTTGGTTGAATTTTCTTTTCATCATCTTCCACTTCACTACCCTTTTACTCGGTATACTGATATGAGGTGTGGTAACTCGGACAGTTACGCAGTAATGCTTGATCGTATGTTGCTTTGAATGGATGAATGGATTAATCCGATAGACTATCTAACTATTATGGAATATTTAAAAGCATCACATTCGGCATAGAAAAAGGTTAACTGAACAACTACCACCTTCAATTTATACAATTCTTAATTCACCCCCAGTAATAGTAACAATTTAAGCTTGCCTTCGAAGAAACACTAATATTGTAACATGAAATTCCAAATATGCTTCCATGCTTCATTTTACACAATGTAGTATATTTTATCAACTGGTCTAAAAATAGTTCCCACTTTCAATAAGTTACCCCCTAACGGTTACATCACTATTTCATCCATAATGATAAGATCAATCACCAATAAACAACATCATTGACTTGCTTGTGACTAGCAGTGGAACTCAGGATACGTGATTCGTCCTATTCGGGACTCATCAGCTGGGTGTGTCTGCACCCCACCCCACCCCACCTCAGTGAGTGATGTTTTTCCCACTGACACTCGCAAACTCTGCACCAATCGCTTCCACAAACTCCCACAACTCAATTGTGACAATAAATGTTCAGGTAATATCTAGGCATTCACACGGGAGCCAATATGCTAACAGAAATCAATCAATTCCATACAGTATAACAGCAGACAATTACAAGTATCAACAAACAATAATAATCATAGGAATAAACAATACAGTCCATAAACGTGTGTGCAAACCAGCATAAACCTTGTTGAAAAGTCATACAACCTCAGGTTCTCAATCATCAGTAAAATCTGAACACCATCTTCGACATTAGAAGTATAAATTATTCAAGATGAAATCAACGAAAATATTCCACACTCAAATATACCTCCTTTTAGGAATATTACACTGGATACCCTCGTTAGATAAGACAGGTTTTTATATTATTTCTTCGTTACTGGCTAATATCAACCAATAAAGTAAGACAGATGAAACAAATTCACGATGATCAACAGAATTACAACACCAACTTCTCCGTCATAAAAGAAGACAAACGTAAATTTTCATCATTGCAAGATTATGACAAGAAATTAATCAACAACATTGTCAAAGTATTCCAATGAAGGAAGATGAACATTAAACTTAATTTATCAAGAAAAACGGTGTAAAATAATTGGCAACTAAAGTTTTCTTGTGACATTGATGACTGACAGAATGCTTTGACAGAATCACTGACTGTTGATATCAACACGCTTGTGGATATTAGGTCACATATGGCTCAGTCGAGTACTCTCAGTGCAAAGACCATGTCTGCCTCCAACGTAATAGAGAAAGTCAGTACATTTGTGTGAATCTGCAGGTTAGTATGTCTTAAGGAAAGGATGTTTGGGCAAGTTCCATCATGTGTACTAGGCTTCGTGGTGTAAGACCCGGATGTTTGATGGGTTACTGTAAAAAGCGATGGTAAATTTCTCATGAGGTCCGATATACACTACGTTTTCTGATGTATAGAATATATGTAGTATACGCCAACTTATCGTAAGAGTGAGGTGACTGATTTGTAGTAGACTAGGAAAAACGATTTGCGATTCAGTGTGAAGAACAGTTCAAATATAAAACTAACCCAATAAACTGAAAATATTAGGGCTCACTAACCAAGTTCCTATTCACCGAATGTGATGCCTGAAATTACATTTTCAAAGATCTGGACAAAATTACGCGAAAAAAAAAACAAAAAACATATTCAGCATCTCTGCGTATATTCCTGAAAAAGAAATGAGCGACATCAATCGTGTGAAGGCCAATGATACAAAATGATGAGTCAGAAGTAATCTCAATGGTGAATAGATATCTTCACATCTTCATCCAATTTGTCGACTATATTTAAGTATTCTCTCATTCTACCTTGCTCTGCTTTGATAACTTTTGATTACTTTCGACTGCTTTCTTCTTTGTTTCTGATCCTTCATCTTGGTGCATTCTCGCTTGATCTGGTGATAGAGGTGTCGCAACTTGGATCCTTACGTTGTCATACCAGGTTCCATGTTGATTTTGTCTCTCTGTCTTGACATATATTTTATGACATTTGTTGACTCCTTTATTGATTGTGGAAGTGGCTTCTCCATAGAATGCACAGTTCACACATATTTCTTCTTCTGCTGTGGAATGTTCAACTTATGTTGTTTCCGCGTTATCTGACGTCTTTCCCGGTCTAAGTTAATTTGGCGCCCACTTGTTTTGAAGTGGATGCCAATCTTACTAGAATTTTTAGTAGTAAGCAAGAAAAACGCCAACTCCACCACAAATATATTCGGGCACATATTTCCTGATCCACCTCCTGTTTCTCGTAAGATTCATCATGCTGTACAAATTGGGAGATTCGCAACCCCTTTAGAACAGCCGTGCACCATTTTTATTCCAAAGAGTGAGTTTTCTTTGTCGAGAAGATACATGTGGCCTATTTTTGGGTAAATTCATGGAAGTATTTTTGATTCCACACTTGAGGTATTAAAAACATTTTGAAGGTGATAAGGTGCTAGTTTGAAAAAGGTATTTTGTAGTGTGGTGTGGTGTTCTTTTCATACATTATTCCGATCACAACCAGCCTAAGAAAATCTGAGACAGTTTCGAAACTTGTGTTAAATGCCCAGGATACCTTTATGACACTTCAATGGTAAACCAGGCTTTCTTCTATTTTTCTTACCCATTCAGGTTGTTTGTTTGTTGACTGTCAACTTTTGCTTCGCTATTTAGGTGTCTTTATTTTCTCTACTGTTGTTGTCTCTTTCTTGAGATAAGAGAGACTCGTTTCATATTAAGTTGTTCATTTGGTATAGCACACATACACACACACGGTATAATCTACTGGATGACGTTTCTGGCAGAATTCATCGCTCATATTGTATTCATATGAAATAAACAATCTACTATGGAGTTATGCTGTAACACAGTGCCCCAGGTTTCACCTTCACAATGTGTTTGTTTCTTTGTTTTACTTCATCCAGGTTGTACTAATACTTTGTAAGATACTCGTATGTTCTTTCCAACATTGGTGGTAGCATTTATTTTGGTGAGGAGACGAAATGCTGTTACAGCATTTCAAAGACTTTTCTTCCTACTGTAAAATATTTGCATTTTCAAAAACAATGCAAGAACAAACACACTTGCTAAACAAAATTAGCTCATTTTATTTCATGGCCTTTCATCAGCTGCAAATAGCCTACAATTGAAATGAATTATTAGTAGCAATAATCACATAACATACTTTAAACACGCAGAAATAAATGGAGATTTGAAACCCAGGATTTACAATAAGGTAGTGAGTCAAGGAAAAGCAGGAATAATTGTCACATATCTTAGTCGAAATCTATGGGTATTTATTATCTGATGAGGTAGAAAATTCTTTCTTGTTTACTACTAAAAATTCTAGTAAGATTGGCATCCACTTCAAAACAAGTGGGCGCCAAATTAACTTAGACCGGGAAAGACGTCAGATAACGCGGAAACAACATAAGTTGAACATTCCACAGCAGAAGAAGAAATATGTGTGAACTGTGCATTCTATGGAGAAGCCACTTCCACAATCAATAAAGGAGTCAACAAATGTCATAAAATATATGTCAAGACAGAGAGACAAAATCAACATGGAACCTGGTATGACAACGTAAGGATCCAAGTTGCGACACCTCTATCACCAGATCAAGCGAGAATGCACCAAGATGAAGGATCAGAAACAAAGAAGAAAGCAGTCGAAAGTAATCAAAAGTTATCAAAGCAGAGCAAGGTAGAATGAGAGAATACTTAAATATAGTCGACAAATTGGATGAAGATGTGAAGATATCTATTCACCATTGAGATTACTACTAAGCTATGTCAGAGGAGGTCTCTCACCTCTCTGTTTTCAACTGCCACACGAACACTGTCCGGGTCGTTTTCATTTTTAACACGATTCAAGCAAACAACCGCGTACTTTAATGATTGTGAGCGTATTTTTGTTGCGTCTGCTTTGGCCGTTCTCCATTCCCAATTTATGTAGTCTTACATCACGCAACGTGGCAGACGGTGACTAGGGTATGCGTAACTCATATACAAACAGCCTCCGTCTATAAGGCTTCATAATCTTCCCTCTCCTGTCTAAAGTCATACGACTGAGTCCTACATCGTGACATCTCCATACGCAGCGTATTTTACTAAAGAGATGTTGGTCGATTACCTGAAGCCTTTTCACATCACCAACCTACATGTTTTTAAGGCAGACTAAAAATATTTGGTGTTTGTAGAAAGATTAAATGGTGTTCAATCAAATTTATGAGAAAATTCATAAGGCAACATAACTGAGGTATAGGTAATCCACTCTATATTCAAATCACAAACAGCACATAGTAGGTGAACAACTCAGGGGTTTATCTATCAACAAAAATTCAAAACCTGACCCCAAAATTACCACAAATCAGTTAGCATTCACTGAACCCCACCATGGCATAAATCAGAGGCATCATTTGTTAACTAGCTTTGAAACTCCTTTACTGTAAACTGAGCATCAAGATGACCAAATGATCAATGTCTAATTAAACCTTAGTATGGAGCTAGAAATATGTGATTACTCATTTTTAAGTAACAAATCGGAGACAAATACAAAATTAGCTCTACTACCTCAATGAAAAAAGTAATCGAAATCCACTCAGCAGCTTTGAGCACATTCGTGCAGTAGGTAATCAGCCACAACAATTGTCTAACGGTTAATGATACTACCTGGATGCCCAAACCTCAATAGACGGATCGCTGTTCAAATCCACCATCCATTGATTGTTGTCATCGTTTCCCTGAACCAATGGGCCACCACTCCACACTACCTCAATCACTATTCCTAAAATAACAGAATTGTTTATACCTCTCAATGTTCAGAAGTGCTACATGTATTCATGTAAAACACTATGATGATGATTATATGAAAAGTAAGCCAAAATTTGACTGGAAAACTGAAAATCATAAGACATTATTACAACTAAAATGCATCACTTACGTTGAGATGAAGATATACCATTACGAATAAGAGATAAATGCGTTTCGGTAGATGGCATCCATTCAACATCCGGATCAAGTTGAATTTCAACACATCCATCTGATTCCACCTTCGCCGAACCTTTAAATCAAAATACAATAGCAATAAAAATTTAAGCTTAAATATGGTTCGACTTCTTTCAATCGAAAATGTATACGCATCAACATTACTAACAACAGGAACGCAAAGGTTCACAAACACAGGTAAACATGTCGCAGTAAGAAATGGTAGAACTCTGAGTGCAGTATTAAAAATCGTACAGCTATACAGAAGATAAAGAAAACAGTATGTTATCAAAATTCTTCACTCCTAGATGATGGCCACAAGTTTCGACGGAAACCAGATAAGCAACTAAAAGATTCATTGATAAGCAAAGACTGCTACTAGCCAAACATACAAGATTACCATTATTATTATCATCATCCTCATCATTAGTATTATTAGCTGCTTTAAGACACTCCTATTACACTTATTTGGCATTTCATGCAACATGTTTGTTTTGAATCAAAACAAAAATGACAAGACGTGTAGAATAAAATCAGCGGAAACTATTTTGAGGAGTCTCTTCAGCAGCAACTGACAACACAAAATTTACACCGAATTGATGAAACCAGAAAATATATTTCCATTCAACAGGAGGATTTGTCGAAACAGGAAAAAGGTAAATAATGATAGTACAAATCCAAATAACAAGAACAAACCATCAATTTATACATAGTTAAGACTCAAGCATGCAGAATAACCACTGATGACTACTATGCTACTTAGGAAGATTAGTAAAAACAAAAGACTGAGCGAAGATTATTGATTTTATATGTAGAACAATGTTTCACCTTATCGGTCAAACTAGTGTCACCAGACCAACGACAGTCACACAAATAACAAACTCTCTATCTTACCATAGGTATCAACTTAAAACCATCTGGTACTCATCGCCTTAGCAAGGTGAAGTAAGACTGAACCTCTCCGCAGTTTGTGTATTCATCCCATACACTGAATCTATTACAGGTGGAGAAACTGAAGAGTAAATGATGAAGATTCTCTCAATCGAAATGTCTCCCGAATGTCTTCAAAAAAACAGATAAAAGCCCATCTTTCTGTTGTTTCAATATACCTGCTTCACTTGACAAGCACATTTGAAATAATTCAGTCAATATCAATGTGGAACCCCATACTACTACTACTGCATGACGGTTCACACTTGCCACACTTCACATCACAACATCAAGGTAGGAGGCACAGAAATTGAAGACATACGAATACGGAAAGGATTAGTCAAAAATAGTGGACACTAAAAACAAGAGTAGAAGTACAGCATAGTAATGATGAAATGCAATATGATGATAAGGGTGAAGATAATGTGTTGATGTACATGCACCGCTTAGATCGATTCTAAACTGTAACACCTAGCGTAAACGTACGTCAGCACCAACTTTTGAAGTCAGTGCTGATGACGTTATCTAGAATTACAATGAAAGCTCCACGAATAAATCATCCAGATTAGAGGGCACACAACACCATCAGAAGTAAACGTACTTCAGTTAACATTAGGCGACAGGGAACACGGTGACTAACCATACAACACGTGTCCCAGGCACCTTAGTGTCAGTGAGGGTTCACAACCTAGACAAACGATCCCCTTCTTTTACCTAAAACTCTACACCTGACTTCTATGTTACTTACGTGATATGATGTTTCATGATACGATCAATCCTACGAATACAATTGCGGTCACACACCTGAGGTGCTGTCATATAGCAATCTAGCACGAATCATGTTTCCTCGGAGATTCGGATTCATAACACAGGTTTCCGACTAAATTCATGAACTTTACCTAAAACTGTTCACCAGATGGTGAGTGACATAACTTCAAAGTGCTAAACCCTCAACATTCTGATAGAAGTCTATCAGAAAGAAGTTTGTAATATAACCGACCAGATAGCTAATCTAAATACCCATTTTCTACCTGTTAAGTTAACGATTCTTATACAAAACACGCTAGTGGATTTCTTCCTTCTGAAAAACATCTCCTTCCACTCTAGCAACATAAACATTCATGTAGAAACGAGAGAATATCTATCCAGAGAGATCAAAGTGGGAGACTAAACCTTTAACTGCAAAGCCTCCATCATTTATCGTGTACTACCGATCAAATTATGAACATAATGGTGTCAGAAATTAGTTGCCTTTGATAACAAATTTTCACAGGGAAACTGCAGAATATTAATTTGATGGATAGGGAGTTGGAATTTAAGCTACATTCCCTTCAGAAATGAACTTCCAATCGAGCCGTAGTCATTTCATTAGGTCTAAAAAAACTTAACAGAACAAATTAATAAAAGCATATTAAAACAGCCTTCAGTTAGCAGATATTCAGTCATTCACGTTTAGAGACTAATAACTATAATTGAAGTCAGCAATTCTAACATATGCAAGCCAAATAAAGCTGCTAAATCACTATTCATGTGACAGTGTCATATATTAGCATAATTGCTTGTATCATACCGTCGTTGATTGGACCGAATCGATAGTCCTCTGTTGGCATATGGGCTCCTGTGCAGATGACTTGATATTGCCTATGTTTTTAATTACATATAGTAATGGTGGGTAGTGGCTAGCAGTGGAATCCGGGATGCGTATTTCGTCCTATTTGGGACTCGTCAGCTAGATGTACTTAGCTCCCAGTGAGTGAGGTTGTTACCACCGGGACTCGGACTGGGAAGCGATCTCTTCAAACACCACTACTCATCATTACAATGTCATATGTTCATATATTTTTTCTAAACCCCGGGGGAAAGACTACAAACAATGATTTTATACTCCTACGGATAACAAACAAATTAAACTGTACCATATCTACCACGCATCTTGTGTAGATGGAAAATAATTCTACACATCACAACTTACTCAACGACATTTTAGCTTTAAATAAACAGTCATTTAAATCTTTTAGTCATATACGTACTATATTCTTGATTATTCATATTATTTACACAATTAAACAGACAAAACATTATCGCTTTGAAAATATGGTGAAGCAGCACTTTTTAATCAACATAGTATTTCCAGATTGACGGTTAGATTGAACCGAAGTGATCAATCATTCGAGGCCAATCGGCTCCCAAGTAAATGCCTTAGTACCATCGAAACATAGATCGCGATACAATTTCGATGGTGCAGGGTTCGAATGTCAGTAGGAGCATCAGGCTGACGAGACCGAACGGGTTGAAAACAAACAACACTCATCTCCCACAACCAACAACTACTCAAAACACTCAAGACAATCAGCTCAGCCAAATAAACACACACTGAAAACTTCATCGGTAAACTTCAATCAGTACCGAATGAACAACAAGGAATCGATAGCAACATCGCTGACCAGCTGCTCACCGATTCGTACACAAACACTCCGCTACACACAACAACGCCCCCACCCCCAAACAACCCCAAACCACAATCACAATCACAATCACAATCACAATCAACACAACCATCTCTAGTCTCCACCACAACACCAATCTACAACTCAACTAGTTAAACACATCTCATCTATCTCCTCGTGTCCCTCATGACTGTCTACATCAACAACAAACACAGTCATCCTCTCACCTATGCCATTCACTCACTCAATCGAGGCAAAATCCATCAACCACATCTAAATCCAGTCCAGTCACCGACCGGTGAGGACGGTCCAACTCCCTCATCTCCTGAATTCACAACTACCATAACATAACCAAACCAATCGGTTAACGTTACACACTGTCTCTACAGTCTCATCCACAGCACGCTTACCTAATCACACACCATGTGATCCCTACGCCTGAAAAAACACATCCCGCCTGTCAAATCAACAATCAGTCATCAGCAGTATAAGCACCACCACCAACAACAACAACAACAACACACGACACACAACACACAACAAAATAACCTTCAAAACAACACACTCACCAAAGTCCTTACTGAAACCTCATACACGCGACATTCCACCACATGCAGTCCAAACAATACAGACGCAACACTGTAACAACCAACCAATTATCCTAAATACACAAACATCTCCATCACCAGAATCAATCATCAACCTACAGTCAACATGAAAACTCACACTAACATCCAATGAACTCACTCAATCAACTCCCTAGTGGACAACAGTTAACAAGCACACCACACCTATGCCTTCACGCACCCACCTCAAAACTAACAAAATCATAGTTCACACAACCTACAAAACACTCATCACATCTCCATAAACAACCCAACAAACAATAACACACACAAAACCACATCACACTCATGCCCCACCATCGTCAATACACCACAACCATTAATACTCAACTCCTCACCAAATCAACTCACAAACACTCAACAGAAAAATCACTTCATCACCACCTCCCATCACTAACTACAAAACATCACTGATCAGATCACAATCATCAATAACAACATCACCATCACTACCACCACCAATATCACTATCACTATCCAACGTCCACACCACAATGACTGCAATACACGTAGGTGCACAACCACAATCCCATCTCCGTCAATATCACAACCACAAGCGAATACAACCTCACACAATCGGTCCACGTTAAGACAAATTATTATAATTATTATTATTATTATTGTTATTGTTACTATTATTAATAGAGAAACTCGAGGAAATCAGGCAGTTTTCAGATATGGAAGAGGGTGCATCGATCAGATTTTCACCCGTCAGGTCCTGGGACACACCATACCTACCGGTCAGTGGTCGATACTTGAAAAATTTCTTCACCTGAAAGCGGTATTCAATTCAGTCGACTGATAGGTGTCGTGAAAGTCTCCAATTGTGGAGGGCCTGTTGAACAAGAATGCAGATTTATGTTGTCATTCTTTTACCTATGTGGGAAAAACTTGGCTTTCAAAGCTTCCATCGTACTACCAATGCACAACTCTTAATACTGCATATCCCCACTTCAGTGAACACAAAGTCCTTTGTCTAGTAACGTTATAATGCAGGAAAACCCGGTACTGGTTATGGGGTCTCCTGATACTACCCAGCTGTCCACATTGTAGTAGACCTTCGTTTCAGGTCT